GAATCATACATTATCATTATATTCTTGTTCAGTTACCGTTTCAGACGTGGAGATCCATACGGCAAATAAACTAGAATATCCTTGAGTCTGTGGCATGAATAAAGTATTGACAGCATGACGCTTAGCCGCATTATTTTTGCTCTAACGGAATTCACCATCTAATTAATGCTTTTTTCAATCAGAGATGTTGCCTCACTGATCACGTTAATTATATTTAGACAGAGACAAGGTGTATTGAACATTTACTCTGCAATACTTGCATTAAAATGAAAAATATTACTAACAAAACAACATTGTCTCGACAGAGGACGTAAAACGTCTATTACAACAATACTGATACATATTGCTCTCCTACAGCATACTCAACTAGTGACTACAATAACAAAACGAAAAATTATGAATAAAACAGTATCTAATCTATTGATGTTCTATGCACGCATTTCTCCACCATCTCTAGAATATTGAATTTACAACTTTTTATCTGAGCATCTGTCACAAATGAATGGATTTTTTTTCTTTCAAACAGAAGTTAAAAACACAAACGTTACTGTTTTCAAACATTTGTGCTCAAAACACAGTTATCAAATCACACACTTGAGAAAAATATCGAGCCTATTGTAAGCACGATGACCCATAGTGTATTGAAGGTGACGTACAAAAGCGCTTTGTTGTTCCTTTCCAGATCCTTTCCGGCACCCTCCCCCCCCCCCCCCCCACCGCCTTCCTAGACTCACTAGCGAACAGATAAATTAATCATTTGCGAACTACCTGTTCGTAAATTCATCACTTCTGTATATTTTGTCAAACATCAGGCAGCAGATTATTAATTAACCTGCACAGTATATGTTTGATGAATCTAATTCACAAAACAAGGAAGGTAAGACTATTATGTATATTATAAAATAATGTAAATGAATTAACTGAATATTATTTATAGTTAATTAATATTAATATGAGACATTATATAGGAACGACGATCTGGCTTTTTGTAAATGGTCAAAAACATGACGTCATTTATGAATGTCTCAAAAATCAGAAGGTTTTCCTCCGCGTGTGTTGGACACATGCTGTTGTATATATGAGCATCGTGTGTCAGTCTTATGCATTTCTCGGTGGCACTGTGAACAAACCACCGCAACTGTGGACAACTAGCGCCCCAACAACTAAACTGTGGCGTCTCGGTGGTAGTGTGGACAATTAGCGCCCCAACAACTAAACTGGGGCGTCTCGGTGGTAGTGTGGACAATTAGCGCCCCAACAACTAAACTGGGGCGTCTCGGTGGTAGTGTGGACAACTAGCGCCCCAACAACTAAACTGGGGCGTCTCGGTGGTAGTGTGGACAACTAGCGCCCCAACAACTAAACTGGGGCGTCTCGGTGGTAGTGTGGACAACTAGCGCCCTAACAACTAAACTGGGGCGTCTCGGTGGTTGTGTGGACAACTAGCGCCCCAACAACTAAACTGGGGCGTCCCGGTGGTAGTGTGGACAACTAGAGCCCCAACAACTAAGATCTTAGAGTTACAGTGCCGATATTGTTTCCATGTAATTAACTCTTTTCTCGAAAACAAGGTACCCAAAATACACAATTGTTAACCGCGTCTAGATTTCAAGATTCCGTTCTTCTCCCCTACCTGGATACCTCTGTGGCCAGCTCACGGAAAAACAAATAATGGCACATTGTAAATTGAATGTTATCATGACAAATGTCCTTATTTTTTTCTCCATAGGCGCAGTAGCAACGCTCGGATAATAGGCGCAGAAGCAACGCACGGAGAATATACTAGTATATATATATATATATATATATATATATATATATATATATATATATATATATATATATATAAAGCAATGTATGTGTGTGTGTTTGTCCTTTATGCATTACTACACCTCTCATCACATCGCCGTGAAACTTTAGGAAGTTGTTGAGAATATTCCTGGGGAGGTTTCTGCGAAAAAAAATATTTCAAATTCGCAAGGGCGGCGCCACGGGAGGGTGCGATTTTTCTCAATATACGGTATATAAAAATAGTAAACGTGAATTGTAGTGACACCGTTCATCCAATAGGCATGAAACTTTGGGAAGTTGTTGAGAATATTTCTGGGGAGGTTTCTGCGAAAAAAAAAATTTCAAATTCGCAGGGGTGGCGCCCCGGCAGGGCGCGATTTGTTTTTCTCTATATATGGTATATAAAAATAAAAAGTCAATTTTGGTTTGACATCTTTCATCTGATAGCCATTAGACTTTGGGGAGTTCATAATAACACTCTAAGGAAGGGTTCTGTAAAAAAATAATTTTTAATTTCGCAAGGGCGGCGCCACGGGAGGGTCCGATTTTCTCTATATACAGTATATAAAATAATAAAAGTGAATTGCAGTGACACCGTTCATCCGATAGGCATGAAACTTCGGGGAGTTCAATATAAAACTCTAGGGAAGGGTTCTGTAAAAAATCATTTTTAATTTCGCAAGGTGGCGCCACAGGAGAGGGGGGGGGGGTGCGATTTTTCTCTATATACGGTATATTTTTTAAAAAAGTCGATTTTGGTGGACACCGTTATCCGATAGCCATGAGAATTTGGGTGAGTTGATTAGAACAATTCAGGGAAGGGTTCTGTAAAAAAAAAATCCTTTTTTAATTTCGCAAGGGCGGCGCCACGGGAGGCTGCAATTTTTCTCTATATACGGTTTATAAAAATAAAAGTCTATTTCGGTTTTCACGTCGTTCACCCGTGTACCATGAAACTTTGGGGAGATGATTAGATCACTCAATGGTAGGGTTCTGCAAAAAATATTGTTTAATATTGCAAGGGCGGCGCCCCCAGGGGTGGAGCGATTTTTTTTCTCTATACACGGTATATAAAAAATAAAACTCGGATGCGGTTCATCCGAGTGCCATGAAACTTTAGGAAGTAGAATATTTCTACGAAAAAGAAAACTAAAGTTTCTTATGGGCGGCACCATATAGGATACAACTTTCGTCAATACACGGTTTGATGCCCAGAGTTTTAGAGCGACTATGTTGGCACTTGGCATCCGTTAATCGAGCGTCCTGCATAGCGAGTAAGGGGTACTACTATATTCAGCGGTAAAACTACAACAGTCTTCTAAAAATAACTTTGTAACGCGAGGAAATCCTTCTGTACAGTTTCGTCACCTTGCCAAAGATGAAAAAATAACTTTTTGAATATGAGGAGCCTACTGTAGAGTTTCGTCACTTTGCGAATGATGCAATAAGCATCTACTATTAGACAATCCAGTCAGAAATTGAGATCGAGCATCTAATAATAGACCATTAGTAAGTAATCGATCGGGGGTTGGGGCCCTGAGAGCGCCCCTGTACGTCTCTGACACATGGGCGGTCACCTAAGTGTGTTCTAACATATTATTTCGGTGAGTGATTAATGTACACCCAATGTTTTCATGCGGTAGTGTAGGTAAACCCGTGTCCCAATATTTATGATCCAAGCGCAAGCATTGTTTACATTTAAATAACTCACTTTTAGAAAAGACGGTCACGCGTCTAAGAATATATGATTGGTAACGCGTTGGTGAAATCCTTCTAATACATTTGTCAAACTTTCTTCTATCCCCGCGGCAACGCGCGGGGAACGGGTACGCTAGTATATATATATAATTTTGGCTAGTTAAAGAAAAAACATACAAAAACCTTTATTAGTTAGAGAAAAACCATACAAAAACCTTTGCTAGTAAGAGAAAAAACCATACAAAATCCTTTGCTAGTGAAAGGTGTTTTGTCAGCTTCGCAACAACTGGACATAATGCACCCTGTTTATACAGTAGAATTTAATATGATATTAAGTAAAATCGTAAGTTTACACACATTAGTACAGTTATATTAGGCTAATAGAAAAAGAATGATGAGTTAAAATGCACTAATATGGTTATATTAAGCTAGTAAAAATTTTCTTTAGTCACAGTGAATTAATATGGTGGTATATGGCTAGTAAAATAAGTTTAGATGATTTAATACGTTGACACAAGGCTCATAAAAAATCGTAAGTAACAATGAATTCATTGAATTAAAAAAAAAACACATGGTAACATTAGGCTCACAGACATCTTTTGTGGGGTGGAGAGGCGGAGAGGACGATTGCAATAATACCAAAGGAGAAGGTTACGAACAATTACAACACCAACTTCGCACGCCTTTTCACGAAACTGCCTCAGCTTTACTATGTGTAAATCTGTCTCAAGTGCACGAAATTATCAAACTACCAATAACCCCGCTCAGACCCCGAGTGTTTGGCCCCAGCGCCCGAGTATTCATAATGCCGGCTCCGATTAGATTAAGAAAAAAAAATTAAGTAAAAATTAGTTAATATAGTGCTAATAGGCCAGTACAAAATCTCAAGTTTTAAGAACAAATGGACAGTATAATCATTCTCAATATCCCTAATGTCAAGTATATCGTATTACCAGTAATAAATAGAACCCATTCGTATGATCATGTGATTTTCTACATATTATGTTGTTTGAAAGAAAAAGGAAATTTTTAAAATTGACTTCATAAAAACTTTTAAATAAAACAACACTTGGAAAATTATAATAACGTTGCTGTTTACAAAATAAGTTCCGCGTAATATTTAAGGGGAAAAAATTATTAAATTGAAAACAAATAAAACTCTAATATTGAAAATAGTTAAAGTAATAGTTGCATTTCTTAAAACAAAGGTGTATGCCTCATAATGTGTGTATATATATATATATATATATATATATATATATATATATATATATATATATATATATATATATATATATATATATATATATATTTGACCGTGCTAAGGAGATAATTTAAAAAGAGATTGCATCTAAAAAAAGTATCAATATGACGGAGTTGGTAGGCTGAGATGTGACGTCATTTTAAGGGAAGTGTTCTGGCTTATTGTGACGTTGGGGTGAGAGGGGTGGGGAGTTAAAGATCGTTTAAAAAGAACGAGAATTGAATGACGGATGTCCCATAAGACAGATTTAAAGAAATCTAAATTTCATCTCCGCGAGTGGAGAACGGAAAGCGACGCCATTTGCACTATACCAGTTGACACCTGTCGTCGATGTCGAGCCCCACTCTCCGTTCAGGTTGCTGTAGTAGCAATTATTGTACCACCAGGCGCCGCGGTAAATATTGGCACAGTTATCACCTCTTAAGTCGTTGTCTTGGTCGTACGTGGTGAACTTCATCAGGTTGTGGTAAGAGAGAGCATCACTTGCCGTGCCGGAGTACCCGGACACCTGCAGCCTGTAGCCGTCATCCTTGCTAGTGATGCTGAAGTTGGAGTACTTGGCGAAATAATTAACGCCATTCATTGTCAAATCAACTCGAAGCTCGTGTTGTCTCTTTGACGTAATCAAATAAATGTTTTCGTTACCCAGATAAAAATTACCCGAACTAAAATTCCCAAAGCCGTTCTTGTACTCTGTCCAGTTCCGGTAAAAGTCAACAGTTCCAGAAACACGTCTTTGGAAAACGGTCCATCCTCCACCGTCTGTCACAGTGTCACACATGACCAGACATCCAGGTGTGACCATAGCGACAGGTCTAGACTCGGGGCTCAAGACATCTTTACAAGACTCGTGCACTGTTGAAGACGGGGTGGGGTGAGGTATGTATCTTCAGTAAAAATCAAAGCAATATTTAAATTTTCTGTCAATTGAATTTTTTTTTACTATTTAGTTATTTTTAAACAAGAGAATAAACTACCAGAGCTGATAGGTTGAAATCCATATCTGACAGAAAAATTGGAATATCATTGTATTTGTTTGAAAAAGATCAAGATATCATAAGCCTTTGGTTTCAGTAACATCTTTTATTTGTTTCATGTGGTTTATGCGCTTGTATATATTTCTATTTCGTATTTCATTGTAAACGCGTGCGTGCGTGTAATATCGTTGGATTTAGTAGTTTTAAAGAAAAGAATAGTGCAAGTAATGTAGTTAGATGTAGTAGTTTTAAATAAAAGTAGAGTAAATTATGTAATTAGATTTATCTGTTTTAAAGAAAAATAGAGCAAATTATCCGTTTCTTCCACACATCTATTCATGGGTAATCCGCCTCCCCTCCCCTCCTCCCTAAGAAAGTCTACCGCCACTCCCCGAACTAATGGAAATTAAAATATGAACTATATACTGTTCTCTCCCCCCCCCCCCCCCCCCCCCGGAGAAGAAAAGTCTCAAAGAAACGCTCCAAACGATGTAATTAGATTTGTTTTAAAGAAAAATAGTGCAAGTGATGTAATAAGATTTTGTAGTGCAAAGGATATTGTTGAATTTAGTAATTTAAAAAAAAAATCGGCGAGTGAGATGCAGCCAGTAAGTAACATTATTAGAGTATATTCACGTCGACAAAAAACAGTCATAAAGTTATCGCTTGACTTTTATAAAAAAAGAAAACTCACTCCCTTAACCACTGTATTATGCCATTACTAGCCAATCAAGCCGTGTCGAACACATCGGCGACACAACTCAAATTAATAGGCTGGGAGTATCTCACAGACATTCGGACACACAGTCACGCGGAAAAACAGTCTCGCCGACACACAGTCACACGGACTTAGATGCACATTCAAGTAAAACAATGACACTTGGAATTTTGAACACAGACTTAAGAACAAACAAAATGGACTCAAAAAAAGTGACTAAAATTACAAGATCACCTGAACAAAAGAACAATTCTGCCGAGAAGATTCTGCCACTATTTATAAACATCATGTCGCTGGTTGTGTTACAGAACTTGCCAGTAGAGTAGATCTTTCCTTGGACAACCGGATCTAATGGAGCTTTAAGGACCAGCCAGGAACCTTTAAAATATAAAGAAGAGCAGGTATTTGCATTTAATGGAATAAAATTCAGCGTTTATGTTGTGTGGATTGGTATTGTGGGTAGTTTCCATAATCATATATGTAGGTATCCTATCCTAGCTTAACGATATTGACATATACATTTTGAGGTAATAAATTCTTGACATAATCATACTGTCCAATGTAAGGGTCATCAAAAAAATGTCCTCTGGATAATCTCCGATGCAAACGTCCCAATGTAAAATGTACTATATAAAATGCCCTTCGTAACATGCCCTATGCAAAATATCCTACATAAAATGTCCTACATAAAATGTTCCACTCACCCAGGCTACAATGTCGTGTAGGACCGTCGTAGATGTAGGAGTAGCACATTTTGTTGGAGGTCGTACATCGAGAGGCGCAGGACAAATGACTGACGTCACTGTACTCTACATTGATGGGCAGCATCAGCCGGTTTTGTTCCTGCACCATCTTAAAACTTGTTTGCTTCACCAGATCGGCTAGCAGGGCTGGGGAAGAAACATCAACGGTTAGATCTCTCTATCACTACTGATTAAATATATAGTTTGGTATTTCTATGTGTGCGAATTTACTGTTAGATCTCTCTAGCGTTTAATATATAATCTAAAGCTTCTTTAGCATTTAGTATAGAGCTCACGACTGTTAACTAAACGTCCCGAGTTCGGATCCCGGGCTTGAGTCTGTAGGACGTCCCTGAGTTCACCAAATGAAAGTAAAGTCGGATGTGCTTAGAACGGACTACATTATCCCGCTGTATGTTTTACTCGTGAAAACATATGAACTATACTTAACCTGCTCAATGTGTTTTATACACGAACGCCACAAGATTAATCATCCTTGCTAATTACCTTTCTATAAATAAACCCCGCCCAAAACTGTAGGACATTACTGTTTTATCGCGGTCTATTTATTGCGGCTTCTCATAACCAAACATGTGGTCACAATGATTTATCTCCAGATTTTTGTTTTATGCGGGTCTACGAAAAATTCCTGAAGTGGCTTTCGGGCATTTATCACATTCGAGCAAGTGTTTTTCGGGAAAACGTCCGGATTCCGTTTTATGCATACACAAAAATGTAGGACCCAACATCAGCTAAAACGGCATTTTTGTATTACTTTTTCATAAAATAGTTTAAAATAGGTAAATAAATCATACAATTTTTTTACAGATACATAGATTAGATTTAAAAATAAAATGACGTATACTTTAAATAAATACATACAATGACGTATACTTTAAATAAATACGTACAATGACGGATACCTTAAATAAATACATACAATGACGTATACTTTAAATACATACATACAAACACACTCATATATATATATATATATATATATATATATATATATATATATATATATATATATATATATATATATATATATATATATCATAGTATACAAACCTCGAAGAAGCAGTGATAGTGCAACATACGAAAATATAATTTGATTTTGCATGATTGATTGATAAATCCTATTTCAACCACTTTTTTATTTCACGTAAATTTAAATCACATTTTTCACTCGCAAACATATCATAAAATCATTTTTCATATATGCTTTAGCTGTTTATTTGTGTAACACTTATAGACGCACAAGAACTGATGGTCGAATCTAGAAATTTTAAATCCTATCCTAACAACTAAACTCGTTACACTCCCGTCCGCAGTAAGAAGTGAACGATCATTGACAGGTTTTGTCTACACTGTTATCAAAGGATATCTTTGTTTCACATTGGATCACACGTCACAAGGGGAGACAATGAGTTCTTGCATAAAATATTTATTACACAAATCTATACAAAATCAAGCTTTTCATCGTCCGCTAAAGGATGGTTAACATGTGATGTTTGGCTTAAATAAGACTCCGCCGTGGGGTCATGAAAATTATATGAGTGTCATCTTCATAGTTTGTAACCAATACATTCTATGGTATTCCACTCCAAGGCATTAAGTAAAGTAAGTTAAGTTCCCTTTAAAACCTGACGGTGTATGGGACAAGTGAAGTAGGGTTCACTTGTTTCTTGACCTCGGTATATCAAGGGAAGGTGTGTTCAGCACTATGACCAGCCGCCTTTACTTTCCCTAACGCGAGTTGGGTACATATCAGAGCTGGGTGGACTCAGGGACCGTCTGCTGACTTGAACCCGGATTTGAACTCGAGACTTACGGGTTAGCAGTCCAGCTCTCTGCCGCAATTGACCAATCATTCCACTCCAAGGCATTAATACACACTTATTGTGTTGACCCTTTTACATTACTTAAATAGACACAGTTCTCTTGGTTAACGCTAGTACTCTATTCTTATATACACGAGCTCAGACGACATGTCCTGTCTCTGACTCTACCTTTCGTTAACTGCCTAACAGGTACACATCAGCTATATATCGTGGGTGACACAGTGAACACTCAAGTGACGTAACCATGATATACATAATACAAGTGACGTAACAATCACTAACAAGACATCATGTAACAGACTATCAAATCTTGAGAGATTACCGGTAAATGGAAGTAGGCCCCTATGCCTTTACACTTTTTCCAATTTCCAAAAAAAAATATAACTTTTATTGGACCGAGTTCTTTAAAAATGTTTTTACTTAGGTCAAGGCTCGATGACAATTCATGGTGACATAAAATTATTTGATTGAAATAGATGTTTAATGAAGTTTTAACAAATGTATATATAGTAATTTTGTAATGCACTAATATACCGCTGTATAATACGCACATTGGTTACGTTCATTTGATGCGCAATTCTTTTTTTATCTACAGTATTCTACACGGTTCTATTCTATTAAAAATAAAGCGGGAGTGATCTCCCCTAAACTTTCTCGAATATTTTTATATAACACTACGGGGATGGCAAATCGGAATATAGACATGATTTTCAATACATTTTTAATTACTTTAACTTTTAAAAATAGAATAGAATCTCGTAGGGAAAAAAAAAAGAATTGCATACCACGTGAACGGCTAACAATATTTGTATAATAGTGTGGATTAATAGTAATTTATAAATTCATATTCGTTTTTAGCGAAATCAGAAATCGCGTAAATTACTACTTCCGGTCAAAGGAGCTCATTTAAAATTTGACACAAGGCAGAGAATTAGATCTTTTACTTACAAATGAAATTTCATTTATCTATCAGAAACAGTACTCAAGTTATAGGCTTTAAGTTCCACTCCCGGTTACCGGAAATCGCTGGAAAAGTTTATACAGAACTAAAAATGTGATTTAATACTTATATATGAAATTTCATCAACCTAACTGTAACGGTACTCAAGACATTGTGTTCACAGACACACACACGCATACACATAAATACATACATGCAAACACAGACATACGGACAAAATTGCAGAACTATGTTTTTCCGACTCAGGAAGGTGTAAAACATGGAGATTTGTAAAAATATTTATTTATTATACTTCCCGGTATACGAAGTACAGAGGAAGTAATGTAATCGTGCAAAAAAAATCGATTTTTTAACCAATTTTTATAAAATTTGTTTGCGTCATCGCTTTTATAGTTATTCAGAGTAACAAAAAAAATCATAAAAACGTTTTAATAACAAGCGTTTAAAAAAAAACAGCGTGGGTTACTTTAGTATCTATTGGATACCTTTACTAATATTTAGGAAAAGACACACGCTTTTGTTTTTAGTTATTTAAATAGTAGTGTATCATTTATTTTCTACTTTTTATTAAAACGTTTGTTATGAAAAAAATTTCAAGTCCTTTAAATTTTTTAATGCAAAAGAGTTGCATGACTAAAAACTATTGCGCACTTAATGAACGTGATGACGCGTGTATAATAGTGCGGAATAGTTTGAATAGACAGCCTGCTAATTTGGACGCAATTTTAATTAATGTATTAAAAAATTAATTAGGCAATCGATTAAGTCAAATTTAATGTCATGTTGCATTGTCTTCATGTTTTGACCCACATACCAACTACGAACCGTATCTGTCATATAGAAGTGCTCGTAATTTCACTCGGGCTTTTCGATCTAAACTCACGACAGACTGACGACTGACTCGACAGACAGAGGAAGTGAGTTAAATAAAAGCTTGTAAAAAAATTCTTAAAAAAGTTTTTATAACAAGCTTTTATGTAATAATGCACTCAAAGGTAGAAAATAAATTATACACAGGTTTTGGAGGTTTTTCAAATCGTAAACTTTATTTTATCTAGTTGAGCCTTACTAGGTGACTTCATTACAATGCAGCCATGAGATCATTCACAATTACTGGAGTTTTAAAAATCACCTCTATAAATGGCGTCACGCATCTTAATAACCTGATGGAACCGAGTAAGATAATTAAAGTCAAATGATATCCTTTTTAAAAAACAAAAAATATTTTCTCATATGAAATATTTTTACCTACTTAAAAACGTTATTGTTTATGTTGTTAGAACCCCCAGTAAAAACACAGCAGACTTAATGTAGAATCGAATATTATTTCAACCCTCCCTTTCCTTCGTAACTGGCGATCGACAGAGCAGATGAATTAGGGTTGAGCTGTAGAGGTCAGTGGCGTAGGCAGGGGGGGGGGGTTAGGGGGTCATAACCCCCCCCCCCATAGACCCCTCGGTATATATATAAAGTATGAGGGGGGTGGAAATCGAAAGTTTAGGGGGGGTGCAAATCGAAAGTTTGATGGGGGAGGGGGGTGCAAATCGAAAGCTTGTCCCCGGGCAAAAATTGAACCCCCCCCCCTTGAGATGATCCTGGCTACGCCACTGGTAGAGGTGACGCGTATTTTTGCTCTAGTTAGCAAGTACTTTTAATTAGAAGTACTGCTAATAAAGGCTCTCTCCAATGTAGCAGTCTCCCTGTTGAAGCTATGAATTTAAAATGATTTCAAACCAACAACATGCCCCAGTTCATGGCCTGGAGGGGAGTTCACTAGATAGTGTGCAGTAATGAAAGGATGTTTTGGTTACGGACGGGAAAGAGGACAACACTAATACAAGTTTTATGACCCCAACGAATTAGTCTCTTTGAAGCTAAATGTCACGTTCTTAGAATATAAACGAATGGGCGGCGGAAAACTTGCCTTTGTATAGATTTGTGTACATAATGTTTTATTCAAGAACTCATTGTCTTTAACCGCACGTGTGATCCAATGTTAAAGATTTCATTCGATAGCTACCCAGAATAAAAGTGCCAATAATCGTTTACTTTTTTCTGAGAGCGGAGATGTAACGAACTTTTTTTTATTTAGGTCTTAGAACTTCAAGATTCGACCAACATTACTTGTAAATCTTAGCTGTGTGATAACTTTCCATTTGACACAGTAAACTATGTTTAGTCTATAAATGTTAAATTTAGTGTTGCACTTAATAAGTTTAAAACGTCTATGAAGCATTATGTATTACATGATATTTTTTCGATAGAAAAAACGTGTTTCTAATTTACATGAATGAAAAGTTTCTGCTGGTGAAAATTGGATTTACCAAAATATCATGCAAAATCAAATTAAATTGTCGTATCTGTATCTCATACTGATTTTTGGAGGTTAGTTTCTATGCATTAAATAAATAAATAAATAAATAAATAAATAAATAAATATATGTATATATATATATATATATATATATATATATATATATATATATATAGGCCTATATATATATATATATATATATATATATATATATAGGCCTATATATATATATATACAAATATATTTATATATATATATATATATATATATATATATATATATAGGCCTATATATATATACAAATATATTTATATATATATATATATATATATATATATATATATATATATATACATATATTTGTGTGTGTGTTTGTGTGTGTGTGTATTTATTTCTTTAATTATATGTCGACGGCAACCACTATTATTTTCTTTTTAAATGAAGTGCATGTTTTTTTTTGTAAAATTAATTATTTGAAGAAAATAATTTGTACAAATTTAAAAAATATTTTCAACTAATTTATAGCAGTGTAATACAACTAGGGTGTTTTCGCTAAGGTTGGGCCCCACAACTCTATGCACGAAAATAATAACAAAGGTGACGATAAATCATTAATGCTTTTCCTACTTCTGTAAAGCCGCAATTAAATATGCAGAGGGGTAATAGACAAGGGGGGATTCATCTGAAGTTAATGTCAGTGGGGGGGGGGGGGGATTCTGGGAATGAGGGGGCAAATGTCCTGCTCCCAGTTATATTATTTCCCAGTGTAACAAAATATGACCTGTATGTATGCATTTAATATTGGACATTATTCTAATAACTTTTTAAGAATTTTCCTTTCTCTTTAGAGGTCTAAATCTATATTTAAGCAGCAATGCTAGATAAAGCTAACCGTTGATGTTTCTTCCCCACCACAAGCCCTGCTCGCCGATCTGATGAAGCAGACAAGTTTTAAGATGGTGCAGGAACAAAACCTGCTGATGCTGCCCATTAATGTAGAGTACAGTGACGTCAGCCATCTATCCTGCGCCTCTCGATGTACGACCTCCAACAAAACTTGCTACTCCTACATCTACGACGGTCCTACACGACACTGTACCCTGGGTGAGTGGGGCATTTTACAGAGAACATTTTACATAGGGCTGTTTACATAAGTAATTTTAAATATGTTTTGTCCAGATAACATTTAAACTGGACAGCTAGGAATGTTGTATCTAAGTATCAATTAAAATACATGAAACGTTTCCCTACAATAAAATGTAGGTCTCAATCTCACAAAGCGTTAGAAGCACGACCAGTGGCGGAACTAGAAACAAAGGACCACCGCAAAAAAAATTTCAACCCATCCCCGCATATTGGGGTCTGGTGGTATAGTAGTTTCTGCCCTGAGCACGACGCTACACAAATAGTTACAGAAACTACCCGTATAATCAATCAACATAAACGACGAATAAGGATTCCATTAAATGCACTCAACTTTCTTTGTATTTATTTAAGGTTCCTGGATGGTCCTTAAAGCACCATCAGATCCAGTTGTCCAAGGAAAGATCTACTCTACCGGTTCGTCTAATTGTCCAACTCTCAAATTGTTAATATTTTATTTCTCTGTGTGTCCTTATGTCTGTGTGTCCGTGTGTCTGTGTCTTTGTGTGTTCACGTGCCCAGTGTTTCTTCCAGACTTTTTTCTCCAGGAGGGTAGGGGCACTTGAAATTGTTTGGGGGGGGGGACTAAAATTTCCGGGGCGAATGGGGGGGCGGACGGCGGACGGCGGACACTGTTAAAAGTATTTTCTATATAAATTCCATTTCGTTCGGGGGGCGGTAGATTTTCTTCGGGGGCTGGGAGTCCGGCAGAGCCCCCCGCCCCCCAAAGAGATGCCTAGAATAAACACTGCACGTGTCTGTGTGTCCGTGTGTTTCGGTGTCCACGTGACTCTGCGTCTGTGTGTCCGCATGACTCTGTGTCCGCGTGTCTGTATGTCCACGTGAATGTTTGTTTGTGTGTGTCCGCATGACTGTGTGTCGGCGTGTCTGTGTGTCTGTGTGTTTGCGTGTCTGTGTGTCCATGTGACAGTGTATCTGTGTCCGAACGTGTGAGACCGCCCCTGCCTATTACTGTTTGCTGGTTCTTGGATGTGTGCGACACAGACCGATTGATTACCTTGCTGTGACATTGTACTGCGGTTGAAGGAGCGAGATTTTTTCTGTCTAAAGACAGACATCTCAAAAGCCAGCAATAAATTTATGAGATAGCTCATTCGATAATTGAAGTATAAGTACACAGATAATAGATCTATAAACGTATATAATAACAGTCAAATTTCACGTACATTATATTGTTAAACGACTAAATCAAACAATATCAGATGAATAATCTATTTTACTTACATAATTAAATCCAATGACGTCACTTGCGTGCATGTTTGTACAAAAGAATATGTGCGCGTACAACATAAAATCACACAAACACATTTTAACAATTTCAAATAAACAAAAAAATGCAACTAAATCTTAGTCTTTAGCTACCTAGGTCTTTTTCAAACAAATATAATAATATTGTGTTTCGCTTGAGGTCGAGAAATAACACTGAAGTATGTCAGTATCAAATTGCTAATTTACTTTAAAATTTTTTTACGGAAGTCAAGGGTTCCATTGAATGAAAATTCGAACCTTTTTTTCTTAATTTTTACTGAACATGCCCCCCCCCCTCCACCTTCTCATACAGTGCATGAGTCTTGTAAAGATGTCTTGAGCCCCAAGTCTAGACCTCTCGCTATGGTCACACCTGGATGTCTGGTCATGTGTGACACTGTGACAGACGGTGGAGGATGGACCATTTTCCAAAGACGTGTTTCTGGAACTGTCGACTTTTACCGGAACTGGACAGAGTACAAGAACGGCTTTGGGAATTTTAGTTCGGGTAATTTTTACCTGGGTAACGAAAACATTTATTTGATTACGTCAAAGAGACAACACGAGCTTCGAGTGGATTTGACAACTGTTGACGGCGTTAGCTATTTCGCCAAGTACTCCAACTTCAGCATCACTAGCGAGGCTGACGGCTACAGGCTGCAGGTGTCCGGGTACTCCGGCACGGCGGGTGACGGTCTTGTCTACCACAACCTGATGAAGTTTACCACGTACGACCAGGACAACGACTTATACGGTGATAACTGTGCCAGTGTTTACCACGGCGCCTGGTGGTACCAGAGTTGTTACTACAGCAACCTGAACGGAGAGTGGGGCTCAACAACCGTAACGGGTATCAATTGGAATTTTGCAAATGGCGTTGGTTACCATTTTCCACTTACGGAGATGAAATTTAGATTTCTTTAAATTTGTTTAAAGTCACGGTTTTTGAACGATCTTTACCCCTCCTGCTAAAATGACATCAGGACTAGCCTACCCCCCCCCCTCCCTCAAAAGGGCTCTTCCTTTTTATTATTAAAACGCGATTTATTCGTAAACTATTTTACAGAGCTCAGCCAACACTGATTATTCGGATCATTTTTAAAATTACAATCTACAAAATAAAACGTCTTTTAAAACGCGACACAACGGCTAAAATTCAGTTTACAAGATTTGTTTACAAAACACAAATCTGCGTCCTTACTTTCGAACTATCCTTATTAGACATTGAATTGTTTTTAAATTCAATACTTAAAAAAACTAATATGATACTATTTTGCCTTATACTCCAATGATTAGTAAGTATATTGCAATTTTCAAGTTGATCCTATTGTTTTTTATCATATAAGAGTTAAATGGTTTTATGAAATCTAGTAATTACTTTTAAGAAATATGTTTTTTTTTCTTTAACATGTACAATTACAAGTGATCGATCAATCAGATTGATACTATTTGTAATGCACTAATAAACATATCGCAAACCTACTTTTTTAAAGCCGATTATATAACATACTGAATAGGAATATTAAGCAATATTACAATTTCTTTTTTCCCCTTATTAATATAATATCAGGTCACCTTATTAATTCATTTATAGATGTTTTTTTTTCTTCAGCTAAATAGCACAATTATTCATTTTTTTCACGTACGATTTTTTTTTTCATTTAACCTAATCAAAAGCGGCGTTAGGTATATGCAGAGCCTTGGGCCGACTATCCACGCGGGGCCTGATTTAGATTAGAAGTATTTCGATGCTTTGATGGCCTAAAGGTTGATTTAAAACAGCAAGGCTTAATTAATAAATTTCGCGAAATAGTGCACGAATTTAGTGTTTTAATGGGGGGTAACTTTTTGTATGATGCCCTTTAGGATAAACTCCGCTACCCAACGCTGGCCCTGAGCCTGAAATCAACGTAATAATTGAACGGAGCTCTCTATTTCTTATTAGCTCAATATCCACATTTTAAAGTATTTTAACTTACAATTTATTTTAATATATTAATTCATATAAATGTTTTGACTTGCCGATTACATCTATATTAGATTTTTTTGCTATAAGCCTATTATACTTAAATTAATGTATGTAAACTTAAGATATCTTATTAGCATAATAACATATTACTATTGTACTGTGCAAAATGTCAAGTTCTTGTTAGCCTAACCATACAAGGACAACTGGGAAATAGCACATTTGACGAATTGAAAACTGGACAAAACTTCCTTTGATATATAGAGAAATGTGTAAGTGTACACAAGTCTAGTTAATCTTACTTTAACTATCACTATGTTGTATCTCTTGTTTAATTAACTATCCAATGCTTTTGTAGGATTTTTTATAGTCAACTATCCCTGGTTTTTTAATGTTTTTTTTTAAATAAACAAAGAATGTTTTTTTTTTATTATTCTTTTTAAATCAACTATACATGGTTTTTGTATTTATTTTAATCAAACTAGGAATGTTTTTTATGGTTGTTTTTTAATCAACTATTAATGGTTTTTTGTAAGTTTTTTTTAAATAAACAAGGAATGTTTTTTTTATTATTCATTTTAATCAACTATCCATTGTTCTGTATGTTTTGATGGTTTTTTTTAACAAACTATGAATTTTTTTAATGGTTCTTTTTAATCTACTATCCATGTTTTTTCCTAATTAGCCTTGGTTTTTGTATGATTTTCCCCGATGGTTTTTGTATGGATCTTCCAAAACTAGTGATGGATTTTGTATGGTATTTCTCTAATTAAAAAATATTAGTCAAAACAGCATTTGTATACCTTTTTATCACTACTCTATCCCCCAGACTCAGTGCCCACGATACATGCTCATATTTTTCAATGACCATGGCATAAAAAGATATAGTGTGGTCAGTTCCATTCCCCTCCGCCTTAGTTTACCCTTAGGTAAGTCAGATATCGATCAGAGCTTTGTGGTCTCAATGTCTTAAGGACTGGAGTTCGGGATCGAAATTTCACTGAACTTTCAAATTCATATTAAACTAATATCTACTTACTAATTCATTGTAATTTTCATTCAAAATTAATTTACTTACAATCTAATTTAAACTATTGTCGTATATTAAAATATTTACTATTTATGATTAATATTTAATTTAGTTAAGCATTTTTAAAAGAAAAACATTTTGGCTGCTAACAGACGTATACTAAATTAGGGTGACCAGAAAAAGCGCAAACAGATACATGTGCACGCAGAAAAATGCGCACACAGAAATGCGGGGGGTGGAGGGGGGTGAGCTGTAAAAGGGGAGTGGTGCATTGTGGAAGGGGGGGAGGGTGAGTTAAAGGAATGGGTGGGGTTAACGAAACAATGTTTTGGTTACGGAGATAAAGAAAAAGCATCACTGATTAAAATTTCATGAAAACGTCCCCGATGAAAGTTTTCCGCAAACATCGCCGATTTAATGTATCTTGACTCCAGTTTCGTCTCATTCAATGACGCGGTCATGTGTAAACAAACTTTCCTAATGGGTGACAGCTAGACTCTATTTGCACAACCGCTGTAATTAATATCTTATGCAAGAAACTTTTGACCCATTATTGCTTGCAATCCGTCACCATTTCCTGTGATGCACGACCAAACAAAACGTCTCATGATGGTTAAACGGATAAAATTGCAAACAAATTGGATGGTTTTTTTATTGCTTCTTGATTAATGCATGTATCGTGAGCGCTAATTCAGCGATAATCTATTTGCCATTGAGTCTCTTTGGGTTTTACAAGAATTGTGAAACAACAAGTGTTGGGTTTGTTATATGTTTGTGTTATATATACAAGTGATCGATCAATCAGACTGATACTATTTGTAATGCACTAACAAACATTTCTCAAACCTACTTTTAAAAAGTATATATATATATATATATATATATATATATATATATATATATATATATATATATATATATATATATATATATATATATATATATATATATATATATATATATATATATATATATATATATATATAATATATATATATATACGGCGGGTTTTTTTTTGTCGACTCGCCGCTCCCACTAACCCGAAAACCTGCATACGCCTTTGACTCAATCAATAACTATCAACGCGATGACGCAAACAAGTTTCATAAAATGAAGCGATAGTGATCTCCCAAAAACGTTCTAGTATATTACATTTTTTAAATGTAATAGGATCGAGTAAAAAAAAATGGGCGCCAAATTAACGTAAACATTGTGCATAATATATGTCACAGACTGTATTATTGGGTATGGTTATTATATTGTGTTTTACATGAAGTTGCATTAATGTAGAGTACCTGGCCAACGGAAACACTGTGCGAGCCACTCGTCATAATTTTTTCCATGCTTTTGTGAGATCGCTCATTGACGTAAGGGGAGAGAATGTAACATATAAAAGGGGAGCGCAAGGGGAACGAAGGGTGGTTGCCTGTGACTGTGTAGTAAGATGTAAGATGTCACCACGTCAATTTGTTTCTAGACTGTAATATAATAGTCGTTTCTTCTACTGTGGATTATCGTATTATTTCTTGTGGATTTATGTAAATAAAGTTGAAAGTTAAAAAGCACTGTTGATCGTGTTCCTGAATGAAAGAACCAACAATAACGACCGTATTGTCATGTTAACAACATACGAGTTGTTACAATATAATACAGCGGAAACGTGCGTTATAAAGTAAGTTTCCGGAAATCGTTCAAAATTTTATAGAAACATGCGCATACATTGTAATACTTATAAATAACATTTCTCAACTTTACTGAAACGATACTGGAAGTAGAGTAAGTACCACTTCCAGTTACACTAGTTGCATGACTAAAAACCATCGCGTACCTATTGAACGTGATGACGAGTGTCGAATAGTGCGGAACAGTTTGATGAGACAGCCTACTAATTTGGACAAAGTTTTAATTAAATCATAAAAATTAATCAGGCTAACAAGTCGAATTTAATTTTATGTTGCAATGTCTTCATGTCTTGACCCACGTGCCAACGTTGAAACAAATCTGTCTGTTAGAAATTTCGCTCTGGCGTTTCGATCTAGAAAGACTGACGACAGACGACAGATAGAGGAAGTGAGTTTTAAAAAAAGCTTGTAAAAACGTTTTAATAACAAGCGATAATAATGCACTAAAAAGTAGAAAACAAATTTTACACTACTATTTAAATAACTATAAAGAAAAGCATCGGTCACTTTAGCAGTGGCGTAGCGAGATCGTGTGTCACCCGGTGCGGCACTTAATGGTGTCACCCCCCAGAGGCGTAGTGACCCTTCCTGGGGACAAACTTTCAAACTTACGCTTTGCACCCCCCCCCCCTCAATCTTACGATTTGCACCCCTCCTCAAGTTTTTCTCTATATATTTTGCTATTTTTTGCATTGGTGTCACCCCCCCCTAAATGGTGTCACCCGGTGCGATCTACACCCCCGCCGCCCCCCCCCCCTCGCTACGCCTCTGCACTTTAGTATCTATTGAATACCTTTATAATATATAGGAAGAGACCCACACTTTTCTTTATAGTAATTTAAATAGAAGTGTATAGTTTATATTCTACTTTTTAGTGCATTATTACATAAATACTTGTTATCAAAACGTTTTTTATGAATTTTTTTTAGTACTTTACATCTTTTTATTTACAATAGAGTTACATGACTAAAAACCATTGCTCGCCTATTGAACGTGATGGCACGCTAATAAACGTGATGACGCGTGTGGAGTAGTTGGATAGGACTGCCTACTAATTTGGTCAAATTTTTTTATTAATTCATAAAAAATCAATCATGCGACCAATTCAGTCAAATTGAATGTCATGATGCATTGTCTTCATGTCTTGACCCACATACCAATTACGAACCGTATATGTCAGTTAGAAAAGCCTGCAATTTCGCTCGGCCGTTTCGATCTAGACTGACGACAGACTGACGAGGAAGTGAGTTAAATAAAATGTAAAAAATAAAAATGCCTCTGGTTCATATAATAATTTTATTTGCAAATTAAAGAGCTATTATATGTTATATCTTATATTTAAAAAAGGTAATCTATATATATAATTCTCTTCTGGGATCAGTTAGAAAACAAGCTGCAACATTAAGTCATTTTTATCTAATGCCCCTGTTATGGCTGCACCAGATTTCAGCAAGCCCTTTAAACTTGCCATTGATGCTAGCAACTTAGCCATTGGCTGAGTCTTATTTCAGGAAGACATCCAAGGGATTGATTATCCAATCGCCTTTTTTTTCCAGAAAGTTAAATGAGAACCAAAAAAATTACTCCACTATTGAAAAGGAGGCTTTAGCTTTGGTTTTGTCCTTGCAACATTTTGAGGTTTATGTCACATCCTCAATTAACCCGGTCATGGTATTTTCTGACCATGATCCTCTTAAATTTACCTCCAAGTTAGGACAAAAGAATCACAGAATATTAAGATGGTGTTTATATTTCCAAAACTTTAATCTGGAAATTTCCCATATTAAGGGAACTGATAATGTTGTGGCTGACTGTTTGTCAAGGATGTAAAATTTTATTACCCACATTGATCATGTGACATGTTTTGTGGTTAGTTAAGACCATATACAAGTGGTTTGTTTGGGTGATACTCACATGAATGTGAGTGGTTCTGAGTTTTGAATTGTTTTTCAAAATAACAATCCGGTTGAATATTTTGTTTATTTTCAGGTGAACCTTATTTAAAGGTGTTTTTTCATTATATGTAATCTTTTATGATAAAATGTCTCACATGACTCAGTTGATATTGTAGCTAGTCATTGAAATAAAGGAATTACCCTGTCGGGTTTACCACTTATAGTATCACCATGGAAATATTGTAATACCCCTTTCTGAGGGACCTTGATGTATTATTATTTTTTGAAAGGGTTACTCCCCTTTCACAAATTGTAAAAGCTTGAGTTACTTCCCTTTTATTTCCAGGGATGTTTTCACCTGGTATTAAGATTTTGGTTCACTACATTTGTAGAACATTTTTTTTTATGCCAGATTGGTTCCTTATGTATGTTTTTTGTGGAACCTATCTGCCTCTTCAAAAGGGAGGGGATGTGACCTACTTAGGTCTGGTAATGTTTATTTTTACATTTGTTACCTTACCATATATGGTAAGGTAACAAATGTAAAAATAAACATTACCAGACCTAAGTAGGTCACAATATTCAGAAAGTATTGTGAAAGAAAATGAGAATATAAGCATATCTATATTGATGACTGTGCATATGTGTATTTACTTATAAATGTGTGTATGGTTATGTAATATGTCGTACACATCGCTTTGAAGATACCCGTTTAAAATGTATGATATTGACGATTTCATAACTATTATTTTTTCAGGTATTTTAAAACGTAAACTTTTTTCTCTAGTTAAGCCTTACTAGGTGACTTCATTACAATTCCTCTATGAGATCATTCATAATTACTGGAGTTTACGAAATCACCTCTATAAATGGCGTTACGCATCTTAATAACCTGATGGAACCGAGTAAGATAATTAAAGTCGAATGATATCCTTTTTAAAAAATAAGAAATATTTTCTCATATGAAATATTTTTACATACTTAAAAACGTTATTGTTTATGTTGTTTGAACCCCCGTAAACACAGCAGACGTTGGTGAAAGGAGACTTTATCACGACGTGCCGGTAAACTTAATTTTTTGCAAAACTTTATGTAAAATCGAATATTATTTGAACCTTCCCTTTCCTTCGTAAGAAGAAGTGCAGGCTACTGGCAACACTTGGCATGAACTTAAGTGGCTCGCCCAAGACAGAGTGGAATGGCGGAGATTTGTTGCTGCCCTAAACTTCACAGGGAGTGATGAGGATTAGTAAGTTTCCTTCGTAACTGGCGATCCACAGAGCAGATGAAATAGAGTTGAGCTGTAGAGGTGACGCCTATTTTGCTCTAGTGAGCAAGTACTTTTAATTATAAGTACTGCTAATAAAGGCTCTCTCCAAAGCAGCAGTCTCCCTGTTAAAGTTTTGAATTTAAAATGATTTCAAACCAACAACATACCCCAGTTCGTGACCTGGAGGGGAGTTCACCAGATAGTTTGAAGTAATGAAAGGATGATGTGGTTACGGACGGGAAAGAGGACAACACTAATACAAGTTTCATGATCCCAACGTATCAATCTCATTCAAGCTTAGTGTTACGTGCTAACAATTAACAAATGGACGACGGATAACTTGTCATGGTATAGATTTGTGTAATTAATGTTTTATATAAGAACTCATTGCCTTTAGCGTGACGTGCGATCCACTGTTAAAGATTTCCTTCGATAGCTACCCAGAATAAATGTGTCAATAAACGTTAATTTTTTTTTTATAGCGGAGATGTAACGAACGTTTTTGTTTATGACTTAGATCTTCAAGATTCGACCAACAGTACTTGTGAATCTTACCTGCGTGATAACGTCTATTTGACACAGGAATACTATGTTCAGTCTATAAATGTTAAATATCTAATGCTTCTACGTGTTACCCAAATAAATAACTTTAAAGCGTTTATTGAAACATTAAGTATTACATGATATATTTTAAATTGAAAAAAAAAGTGTTTCTAATTTACATGAATGAAAAGTTTCTAGTGGTGGAGATCGGATTTACCAAGCTATCATGCAAAATCAAATTAAATTGATGTATCTGTTTCTTGCACTGATTTTTCGAGGTTTGTTCCTATACACTATATATATATATATATATATATATATATATATATATATATATATATATATATATATATATACACACACACATATATATATATATATATATATATATATATATATATATATATATATATATATATATATATATATATGTGTGTGTGTGTGTATATATTTATTTCTTTAATTATACGTTAGTTGCAACCACTAATATTTAATTTTTAACTACTGAGTTTGGGGAGGGGGGGCATGTTTTGATTATGTTCAGCTACTAGTCTTAAAATAGTTGAGGAAAAGTTGAGTTAAAAATATAATTGCTTTTCAAAAAATGTTGCGTAAATCAGAGATAGTCTTGGGGGATATTAAAGTATATTAAAGTATCACTGCTCTAAAGATCTAACACTATACCGAAGTAGCGAGCTATGGAGTTCGAACACTAAAGTAGCACTTCTAGAGAGGCCTAACTTTATGTTAAAGCAGCAATGCTAGAGAGATCTTACACTAAATTAGAACCCCCCAGAAAGACCTAACTCTATATAAAAGCATTAATGCTAGAGAGATCTTTCACTAAATTAGCACCCATAGAAATACCTAACTCTATACAAAAGCAACAATGCTAGAGAGATTAGCACCCATAGAAATACCTAACTATATATAAAAGCAGCAATGCTAGAGAGCTTTTACCATTAATGTACCTTCCCCACCACAAGCCCTGCTGGCCGATCTGGTGAAGCAGACAAGTTTTAAGATGGTGCAGGAACAAAACCTGCTCATGCTGCCCATCAATGTAGAGTACAGTGACGTCAGCCATTTGTCCTGCTCCTCTCGATGTACGACCTCCAACAAAACTTGCTACTCCTACATCTACGACGGTCCTACACGACACTGTAGCCTAGGTGAGTCGGACAATTTACATTGGATAATTTCTACATAGGGCTGTTTACATAAGTTATTTTAAATTGGATTTTTACAACTTACTTTCAAATTGGACAGCTTTTTTGTTTAAATTTTTACAAAACCACTAGTCTATCGATGTGCAGACATTTTGTCGGATTTCGACCCCCAAAACGGCCTACGAACCCCCCGCCCCCCCCCCCCCCCGCACGCTTCTACATCATAAGGTCTGGTGGTTTAGTAGTTCTGGTTCTGGGCGTGACACTACACGAAAAGTTACAGAAACTACCCGCATAATAAATCCACATAAACGACGAATTTGATTCCATTTAATGCAAATAACTTCTCTTCTTTATCCTTGAAAGGTTCCTGGCTTGTCCTCAAAACACCATCAGATCCGGTTGTCCAAGGAAAGATCTACTCTACTGGCAAGTTCTGTAACACAACCAGCGACATATCGTTTATATATAATGGCAGAATGTCCTCGACAGAATTGTTCTTTTGTTCAGGTAAGCTTGCAATTTTAGTCATGTGTGTTGAGTTCATTTTTTTCTTTTGTTCCCAAGACTATGTGTCCAACTCTCAACCATTTAATATTTATTTGTTTGTGTGTCCGTGGGTCTGTGTGTCCACGTGACAGTGTCTGTGTGTGTATGCATAGGACGGTGTCTCTGTGTGTTTGTGTGTGCAAGTGGCTGTGAGTCTGTGTTTCTGCACGTGGCTGTGTGACTGTGTGTCTGCACGTTGCTGTGTGTCTGTGTGGCTGTTTGTCAGATTAGATTATTGTTTTGATTTTTACTGAAGATCCAAACCTCTCCCCATCCCCCATCTTCAATAGTGCACGAGTCTTGTAAAGATGTCGAGAGCCCCGAGTCTAGACCTGTCGCTATGGTCACACGTGGATGTCTGGTCATGTGTGACACTGTGACAGACGGTGGAGGATGGACCATTTTCCAAAGACGTGTTTCTGGAACTGTCGACTTTTACCGGAACTGGGCAGAGTACAAGAACGGTTTTGGGAATTTTAGTTCGGGTAATTTTTACCTGGGTAACGAAAACATTTATTTGATTACGTCAAAGAGACAACACGAGCTTCGAGTGGATTTGACAATGAATGGCGTTAATTATTTCGCCAAATACTCCAACTTCAGCATCACTAGTGAAGCTGACGGCTACAGGCTGCAGGTGTCCGGGTACTCCGGCACGGCGGGTGATGGTCTTGTCTACCACAACCTGATGAAGTTCAGCACGTACGACCAGGACAACGACGTATTCAGTGTTAACTGTGCCTCTGTTTTCAACGGCGCCTGGTGGTACAAGAGTTGCTATAATAGCAACCTGAACGGAGAGTGGGGCTCGACAAGCTACACAGGTGTCTTCTGGAAACCTAATAATGCCTTAATTATCAATGCTACATTCGCGGAGATGAAATTTAGATTTCTTTAAATATGTCTAAGGTCACGCTTTTTTTTCAGCAACCTCAACCCCTCCCGATAAAACAAAATCAGATCTAACCTTTTGAATACTTTTAACACGTTTGACACATGAAAATAAGTATTAAACAGCAAACAAAAGGGTTGAAAACATTTTTAGTTGTCATGGAAACCCCAAAAAACCTCCGCTATTTTGAATATTTCGGTACTTTTAAAAATGCTGAGGTTTTTTTTTATTTATGCACTAATAGCATTAAAATTTAAAGTGTTTATATTTCAGTATATATTAAAACATTTGTCACGACAACTTTTTGAAATAGCTACTAGTAAGAATTTTACAAGTGCCAAAAAATCGTTCCCTTTCAAAAGTTTCAAAATGGGCATATTATTTACCATAAACTGTTTTTCTATGAAAGCCATCACAATTCCCTCCTGACAAAAGTTGTATTTTTGCATGAAAAAAAAATTACTGAAAATATGATAGGCATTGTTTAATAAATAAAAAGTAATAGGTGTTTTAGTGTTAAAACCTGCGAACTGAGAAAAACAGCCAAAATTAACTAAAAGTAGATAACAAACATACCATATCTGTGTAAACTGCAAAACCGATAGTAAGCTTTAGGTGTTTCTGCGACGATAGAAATTAAGATTATCAAATACATGAGACATCCAGCTTTCCATTGATGCCAAATACAATTAGATGACGGATATTAAACTTTCAGTAGAGAGCTTGTAAGATTGGGAAAAATTGATTTATTTTTTTATTTATTCGGGTCATAAAAATGGCATTTTAAACACATTAAAAAAATTCTCATTAAAGTTATTTTTTTTAACTTTAAAAAAAAAATTGACAAAGTATCCAAAAATTGCAAGAAACTCATCACGATGAAAAACCTAAAATTTGGTGATCAGAATGAAACTATTTTAGTGCACTGAAACCTCCTTTTTTTAAAAGCCGATATTATAATAAACTGAATTGGAATATTCTTTTTTTCCATTATTAGCCAAATATCACGTCGCCTTATTAATTCATTTAAACTTGTATTTTTCTTCAGTCAATTAGCACCTTTTAAAAAATTATTTTCCTTTACGATTTCCTCAATCAGCTTGATCAAAGACAGCGTTAGGTATACATAGGGCCTATTTCCGACCATCCACACGGGGCCTGAGTTAGATTAGAAGTATTTCGATGGTTTGATGTCTTAAAGGCTGATAAAATAAACCGGAAGTGATCTTCCCTAAACTTTCTCGAATATTCTTATATAACTTGGAATGTAGACATGATTTTTAATTACTTAAACTTTTAAAAATAGAATAGAATCTCATAGAAAAAAGAATTGCGCACCAAGCGAACGCCAAAACAAAATGTGCATAATAGTGCGCAATATTATTAGTACTTTATAAATTTACATGCGTTTTTTGAGAAATCTGAAATAGCGTAAATTAGTATTTCGGTCAACGGAAATTACTCAAAATTTGACAGAAGGTAGAGAATTAGATCTTTTACTAACGTGTGAAATTTCATTTATCTATCTGAAAAAGTACTCAAGTTATAGACTTTTGAAAATTCAAAGTAGGAAAAGTACCACTTCCTGTTATTGGAAATCGCTCAAAAGTTGAAACGGATCTACAATTTAGATAAAATACTTATATATAAAATTTCATGAACCTAGCAGTAACGGTACTCAATTAATCGTGTTTACACACAGACAGAAAGACAGACACACACACACACACACACACAGAGATATACGGACAAGTTTGCAAAATTATGTTTTTTCGTATCAGTGAGGTGTAAAACGTCGAGATTTGTATAAATCTCGATTTTTTTTTGCACGATTACAATACTTTCTCTATACTTCGTACATAAGAGAAAGTAAAAAAAAGTAAGGCTTAATTAATCATTTTCGCGCAATATTGCACTAATTTAGTGTTTTAATGGTTGGTAACCTTTTGCTCTGAGCCTAATATAAACGTACTGATTTAACAGAACTTTCTATTTGTTATTAGCCCATTATCCACATTTTTAAGTATATATATATATATATATATATATATATATATATATATATATATATATATATATATATATATATATATATATATATATATAAGTTTCATAAAATGAAGCGATAGTGATCTCCCAAAACTTGTATGTACATTACATTTTTTTTTAAAATAGAATATTAGAAAACAACTTAATAAAAAGTCTAGTGACAATTTAAGCGCAATTTCCTTAATTAATTTTTTAGAATTCACAGACCTACGTAAAAATCCTTTCGAACCTCCGCTCTTTCGCTATGGTAAAATCCTTTCGAACCTCAGCGCTTTGCGCTAACGAGTACGCCTACACGATGCTCAGTTTAAAAAAAAATCCTTTCGAACCTCCGCTCATTCGCTATGGTAAAATCCTTTCGAACCTCAGCGCTTTGCGCTAAAAACCTACACGATGCTCAGTTTAAAAATACTTAATTAATTTTTTGTGACCGAACGAAAGGATATTTTTGAAAAGTTTCTTAGGCAATATTGTTCTAAATTATGACAGGAATCGATTGGTAAATGTTTCATGTCGCTAAGTGGTCTGGTTGCCGAGATATGGGCAAGAAACTGCATTTTTTCGAGGTTTTTTGGCTTTTCCGGTAAATCCAGGAAGGAATTCCGAGAATTTTTTTGACCTATGTTCATCCTCGGAACTTGCTTAACATATTTGCTTTTGGAACTAGTCCTCGATATTGCTTCGTTGAGGAGGAGATACGACTTAAAGACGACTTAAAGCTGCGCGAACACACATCCATACATCCATCCATCCAGAAATGACGAGTTAATAATCGCAATCCCCCAGTATGGAAATTGCGCTAAAAATGGCGCACCAAATGAACATAAACAATGTGCGTATAATACAGCGGAAAATTAGTGCTTTATAAAGTAAGTTTCCGGAAATCGGTAAAAATTTGATAAAAACGTGTTCATAGAATGTAATACTCATAAGTGACATTTCTCAACTTTACTGAAACAGTACTCAAGTTACTGTCTTTTGAGAAACTGGAATTAGAGGAAGTACCACTTCCGGTGACCGGAAATCGTTCTAAATTTGATACAAAACCACAAATTTGATGCAATACCTACATATGAAACGTAGCTGAAAAGGTACTCAAGTTGTCGTATTGAAAGACAGGCAGAAAAAAAAGACATAGACAAAATTGCAAGTTTCCCCGACTCAGAGAGTTGTAAAACGTCGAGATTTGTAAAAAAAATATTTAAAATCTCAATTTCCATTTTTTGCACGTTTACAATACTTCCTCTATAGGCCCTACTTCGTATACAAGAAAGTAAAAATACATTTAGTTATTACAATTTTAACATAGTATTTCCAAAATAAAAATAATCAGATGTATTTTGTTTTATTTCCAGATTTCCATATATTACTTAATGAACTTAATTATTAATTTTAAACTTATGCACATTATTTAAATTTTAAGATTAGTTCCTACTTTTTACACAAGAAATGTATGTTTTATTAAATATTTAAGGCAGTCTTCTTACAGATTTGGTTGGAGTTTTTTTTTATATACATTTCTATCAAACATTAAAAATGTAAACATTTATTTTGTAGTTGTTTTTTTTTCTTTCTCTTTTTTTTATAAAACAAATTACAACATATTAACAGTAACAAAATTTACATTCAAGTAACAGGTTAATAATAATTTACATTATGGCAAATATGTGATGGAGTTTAATTTGATGTACGTACAAAAACCAAAGGAAAAAAAGTGGGAATAATATAAGGGGTTAAATACAACAAATAACCATAAATTACAAATATACAAAGTTCAATTGTTTGTTTTTTTGTATTTTGTCATAATTTTCTGGCGGGAGGATAATACAAAATGTCTAAAAAGAAAGAGATTTGTCTTGGTGATGGTGTCACCGTGTAGAGCGTAGCGTAGGTATATCACTTGGTTGACGGGTTCATTTAAGTGGAAATTTGGACTAAATGTTTTGCTTTGTTTTGCCAGATGAACTTTCTTGTTGTATTTTTCTGGCGGTGTGACTTCCTTTTCGTTTATCTTTGTTGTTGTTTCGTTGCTTTGGGTTATTATAGTTTTGTCGATTTTTTTTCCGTCTGTGATTTAATTGTGTCAGTCCTTGTTACAAGTATTATGTCCACAGGACTTTTGTAACTGCTTGATTGGTGTAGAGATTATGGAATGGAGATTTCATCTGCTTTTGTCTTCGTTTTGGGTTATGATTGGGTCATCTTCTTTCCCTTTTTGTGGTGATTTTTTGGTGCCTTTGTTATTTTCCCTTTGTTCCGATGTAGGGCTGTGTTCGTTTTTCCTTTCTGTTGATCTGATGGTATACATTGCTGTTTCTGACTATGGTTTGTTAATGGTATTTGCTGTTACAGTACTGATTATCGTGTAGCTGGGGTCCTTAAGTTGTGTTTAATTGCTGACAATTGGGGTCAGCGTATTTGGTGTTGCATCTTGTAGCTTAGTGCTGGTGTTCTCTTGTACCGAGTCTTGCTGTCGTTGATTAATAAGCGCTGTGTTTGCTGGCGTTGTTGGTAGTGCTGTTGGGTCTTCCTGCTGTGGTATGTCTGAAGGCGTTTGCTGGTACTGGTTCGTCCAGTGTAGGATGGAGGAACATATTTGACACGCTTGTCTTCTCCCGGCGATTGTGATTAGGATAGTGAGTGATTTGTTTTTGTAGTTTACTATGATGTAGTGTGGGATAGTCCGGGTGGCACCTCTCCAAGACTTTCGTCTTAGAGGGAACAGGAATGGGTGCAACACCATTGTTGAGTTTGAATACTTTTATTATGGAACATAGGGCCTCCACCATTTCCTTCCATTTCTTCCGATTACCGGCTATTAATTTTGTAATCTCCCAAGACTTCCCTGTTGGCTTCCGTTCTTCAAGAAGACTCCGCCTCCAGGTCCGTGGGGGGGGGGGGGGGGTGTGCTAACACAGTATAATTCTCTGTACTCGGTACACAGTATTATTTCTACA